AAAAGAGAGAGAGAGAGAGAAAGAGAGAGGGTGAATGGAATAGAAGAGAAGTACGATGATCCGACGAATTCACAAATGTTGTCGCGGTTGACTAACATCGTCGATGCGCTTACGTGGCTTTTAAACTCCAATCCGATAGGAAGTTTCACGTCCAGTCCGTAAAATTTTATGTTACAATGAAATCCTTCCATTCTCCACTCATTTGTTCACTTTAATTTGAGTGCCCTTTTTTTAATTTTGGTGATGATATATATATATATATATATTATAAATTACTAATAATGATATATGTATGTATATATTATAAATTATTTATAAATATATATACATATATACTTGTTATATATAAATCAGATATATATTTATTATCGTTATTATTATTATTATGTATTTTTCTTTTTTTGTTTTTTTTTTTTTTTTTTTTTTTTTTTTTGTTACCAAGATACATTTCTGAGGATAAATATATAAATATATGTATATCTCATTGAAATTTCTAATATTTATATAGGTATATAGACTTGTTATATATAAATCAGATATATATTTTTTATCGTTATTATTATTATTATTATTATTATTATTATTATTATTATTATTATTATTATTATTATTATTATATATTTTTCTTTTTTTTTCTTTGTTTTATGTTTTTTTCGGTTACCAAGGAGATTTTTTACGAGGACAAATTCAGCACAGAAAATTGCACCAATGGGAAGTGGATTGTCGTTATCAAAGTGGAAATTAAATAGAATTAAATAAATTTTGATCATTAACAGATCCAGATACAGATCGATCTGTTTGGTCTTTATTTTATTATTTGGTATTGTTATTATATTATTATTTTATTTTTATCTTATTTATTATTATTATTATTATTGTTATTATTATTTTTATTTTTGTTATGTCAATGCAATCTTAATAAAGGAACAATTGTACAAAAGAGACAATATCATTATTAAATTAACAATATTAGAAAAAGTTAATATTTAATTATAAAAACGAACAATTTGTTTCGACGATTGATAACGTTAATTCGTTAACTTTATCAATATAGACGTTTGACGTTTAAAAAAAAAGAGAAAAGAACACAAAACTATTTGTCACTGATCTTCAAATAATGACTTTCATTTTGTTTCGGAAAGTTTTCTTTTTATAAATTCCTTACAATTTATTTCATTCTTCGGATTGCTTTTTCATTTCTTTGTTTGTTTGTTTGTTTGTTTTTTTTTTCGTTTCTTTTTTTTTTTTAATCATATGTAACGTCTAACGCAATTCAATTTTCTTTAATTTTTGTATTCGATTAAAATAAAATGAGGAAAAAGGAAAGAAGAACTAGAACTATAGAAATAGGTCAAACGATAATTGCTAGATCTCGTATATCATACTCCTTCCTATTTTATAAACATAGGAAAAGAAAAAGAAAAAGAAAAAGAAAAAGAAAAAGAAAAAGAAAAAGTAAAAAAACTTTAACATTTCTTTCTTGCACGAATACGTTTGGATACGTAGGTACGATGTAAATACTTATTGTTGGTTCGTATATATACGATACATACACATATGTACATACGTATAACACATATATATATTATATTCGTATATGTACACAACTACGTCTGTTTCTAATCTACTTTAAAAATAGAATTAAAAAGAAAATAGCCGTCTCTCGAATCTTCTTTCTCTTTTCTTTTTTTTCTTTTTTTTTGTTATTTTTTTTTTTTATTTTGTTTCTTCTTTCTTTTTTTTTTTTTTTTAGTTTCCTATCCTCGAATAAAACCGTAAGCTGTATTACAACGTATTTGTTTGTTCATTGTATTTATGTGTATATGTGCTTGCTTGCGTGCGTGCGTGCGTGCACGCGCATGTGTGTGTGTAGATAGGTAGGTAGATAGGTGGGTGGGTGGAGAGGAGTTAGGAGAAAGAGGTGGAATATATATATATATATATATATATATATATATATATATATATATATATATATATATATACGGCCTTGTTTCACATGCAATGATAAATTTGCTTGGTTGGATGGTGGATGGTGAACTAACGTCGACTAGCCCACCAAAATGTGGTTTTCGGTATGACGTTGACCGTTGCTCGCCAAACGACAGAATTTTCGGTTTATAAATGTCGATAATATTGAGTTGCGTATTTTCGAGTTCGTTATTACCGTCCATACTTCGGCAATGTCAGTCACAATATTGTTGACATTTTGAATTTGTATTATCGAAACTATTACGTGTGTATAGAACGTACACACGTTATAAACATAAGATTATTTAACTTCCTCGTTGATTTTGCTTGAACGTCAATGGATCATTGTTTTCTATTTTCATTTCCACTTACAAATACATATATACAAGTGCAATGAGAGAGTGGGGGAGGGAGAGAGAGAGGGAGAGAGAGAGAGGGAAAGAAAGATGTGTCAGTAATAATAATTCTATTAATATTATTTCGTTTTTATATTATTTTAAACTTTTCTGATAAATATGTTAATATTAATTGAAAAAAATAAAGATAAAAATTATTACGGTTATATACGATTAATTTCGTTGTATTAATTATTTTTCCTTTTTCTTTTTTTTATATACATATTTAGATGTGAGATAAAAATATTTTTTATATAACATTGCTTTTTTGTTTTTTTTTTGTTTTTTTTTGTTTCTATAATATAATCACGAATTAACAAAAATTCACGAATAAATATTTATAAATTATTGTATTATCTAATAAATTTATACTTCGTCATTTTAATTTTTTCTTTATTATTAATTGTATCAATAACAATTACAAAAAAATTTGTTTTGATAATATTAAATAATTTCTTCGAAAATTATTCGGATGATAATATACGAAATTAATTATTATATATATTAATTAAAATTTTTTACTTTTATGAGTTGTTAAGTAATAATTATATTATAATAATTCTATTTATATTATTTTTAAAGATATTAATTTTTCTGATAAATAAATCTAGTGATATTAATAAAACAAAAGGGGGGGAAGAAAAAGAAATAGAAATTATTACTGGTATATACGATTATTTTAATTTTATTCATTCATATTTTTTTTTTTTTATAAACATATATATGTACGAAATAAAAATATTTTCCATTTATCTAATTTTTTCTTTTTTTCTAAACTATATCCCCTCAATTAAAAATAACTGTATTAAATTATTCACAAATGTGAATATTAATAAATTTTGAAAGTTTCGAATAAACTTAAAAACACGTTGTTATTTTAATTTTTTATTTACCATTAATCGTCTTAATAATAATTATAAAAATTTGTTTAATTAATATATTAAACTAATACGAAATATATTCGTAACATAATATACTTATATATTTTTATATATCTATATTAAAATTGTAAACTATTAAAAAATTTCTTAAGTATTAATTATGAAAAAAAAAAATTTTTTTTTGATAATAAATTCTGTTAATAAAGTTATTTAAACTTCTTTCATTCAAAAAATATCGTCCTAAAATAATTTATTAATTTCAATTACCAATGAAATATTGGATCATTATTAATTTTGCATTTTAACAATCCAAATATATTATCGGAATATTTCTTTTTTATCTATACATTGTTCTTTTTCGAATCGAAATCACTTTTAAGGGAATAATTCCAATTATAATTGTTATTATAAAATATAAATTATAATTATAAGATATAAATTACGGATTAATTATATATAATAATAGAATACAAATTGAATGAGAAATTTATTAGCAATAAATTTTTTATATATTTTTTAAATTTCACAAATTGAATTCATACTTGAATTAA